TGACCAATCACAATTCAGTAATTTTGCCCCTTATATGATAAACAAGATAATAATAATAGTATACATCATAAAGACTCTGATTTTTTGTCAGATATGCCCGCCTCATTTTTAAAGCACAATTTTCCAAGTACTGGTCTGGCTTTATTCGTGCGAAACAAGTTAATCGAGTTGGTATACATCATAGAGACTCTGATTTTTTTTGTCAGATATCCCTGCTTCAAATTTTGCGCTGATCAGTGGATCACGTTCAGCAGGTGAAAATAATGGCACTGCTAATGCGCCGGATGAAACCTGATTTTTTCGGAGATATCACCCCATGATATACGTCCGAGAAATAAAATAAAAGTTGACGTTATGAGTTCGTTTGTGACAGAGATTAATGCAGCATCTTGCAAGTTCAAAGTGAATGGTATATAAATTTTCCCTGTCACCATAAAATGGATTTAAACTTGGATCCAATTTGATCTAAATTTGAATGATGGTCAAACAAAAGAGACTTTCTAAAAGGGTTCAAAAACCATGCTGCTAAATCTCTGTACCATGACGATATTGTTATCCGCTTGCATTAAAGATATACCTTGTGTCTGCATCACTTACGGTGAAGTTCTTCTTAGGAATTTCATTTTGTATATGTACCCGTAGCTCAGACCTAAAAGTGCTTTACGCCTGTTCAAGGATAAAGTTTAATTTACAGGCAACCAGTAGAATACAATTTCCTTAACCAAGAAGAGTAGATCAGTTTCATTTTGTTATTGATTATATACCATGCCTTCGATTTATAATGCAAATTTACCAAACTGAGGACATTCGCTCTCTCTCATGGTCCGTCTATGTTCTTCATTTGTACTCCATGCGAGCGAAAAATTTAGTTTGTCGGCTTTGATCAAGAGTTTAGACAGTTTCATTTTGTTTCTTGGTTAAGTAGGATATTCTCTGTGAAATGCTCGAACATAAAAGATGGCCACAAGAAGATCCGCGAATTCAAAAATAGTCATGAGACTTCCTCCAAGGAAAAGACCCATATTGCCTCCAATCTCACCTAAAAGGTAATAAATATAAGCTTCACAAATAGACCTGCAATACCGTAGATTAATAAAAATAAGAAAACTTAACAAAGGAAAAAGGGAAAGATAGGCGAATAGCCGGGAAAATGAACAGATGATAATGATAGGTAATGAAATTAGGTCTATTACGAACCATGATACATTAACTTAATGTATTCATCTTTTATTCAATTCTTCCGACCCATCTTCGCGCCTGATGTTAGGGGTGCAGTCAGTGTGAAGCGAGAACAACTTCTCAAATGCAGCCTTACTTAGTTTCTTTGCAAACTACCGCCTCCCAGTTACCTCAATGGACAGAGTGCTGGACTGTTGTGCGAGAGGTCGAGGGTTCGAGCCCCGGCCGGACCAACACTCAACACTCAAAGTCTTAAAATAATTGAGAAGAATATGCTACCTTTCTATAACATCAAGAAATGGTTGGATATTCAAGTCGAATAAATGGAGGTCCCGTCTCCTGCAGGAGGGGTAGGAGACGTTAATTTCCCACGCACGAGATTACTGTGTGATGGATGTCCTTCCCCGGGGTGGG